TGCTGAAGAGTGCTTCCAGACAGCTAGGTTTTACAAGTCAGCAATAGGCTTGTGTGGCCAAAATGGATATTTTTCTTTGTCCAACCTAGTTTCAGGAAATGCCTCATAGTAATCCTCAAGGGTCATTTGTTCAAAAGGTATCATGTTTTTAAACTTCTGAAGCTTGAAAAGAAGAAATGATAAAAATTACTATCAGGAGAAAGCACAACATGTTATAGCAACATCTTTGTATGATGAAAATTGGCAGCTTACCTCCTTCTCATACTGAACAATACGGTCTTTAGAAGCTTGTATATAGGAAGCAGCACTCTTGGTCTGCAAAGAAAGGTAACATCTTAGTTACATTCTGAGACACTGAAGTAATTTGAGAAACTAGACTTACTGATTCAAATTCTACAGCTCTGCTCCAAAAAGATTGGGGCCGCGGCAGCACTGCACGGTGCCACAGTAACTGCACGCCACAGCCCCAATCCGCCTATTTGCCAACCCAAAAAGAAGTGGTCAGTTGCCGCTCCTTTTTGCGCTGGCAAAAAAAGATGGCTTTTCTGCCCCACTGCAGCTTTAAGGCACTTGAACAGTGTGGGGTGTCTAAATGCTGCGCCACCGGAGCACCCGGGAACAGCCCATATCTGGGCAGCAGGGCGGCATGACGCTGGCTTCTGGGCGTCTTGGGTGTGTGTGTCATGCATACACCACGCCCCAAACTGGCTTGAAGCCGGCTTTTTATGCTGGTCTGTTCCTGCTCTATGTTTACCTCATATGGGACACAGCAGGCACATTGGGCCTTTCCCACTGTATGAACTAGCCTCAGATATTGCCTCACTGATTTTTGCCATATTATAATTTTTAGCTTTTCCCTTCATTCCCAGCTTAAACTGGATCATTATAGCTTGTTGTGCCTTTGCAGAAGAAATTGGAAGGCCTCCGTCATCTTGAACACAAACACACACACACACATATGGAATCTGAGGCTTGTAACCATTTTAGTTAGATCTGATCCCACCAGTTAGACATGACTTCTCTAGTGTCACCATTTTAGCTGTGAAAAATATCTGAAATACTGTACAGCCATTCATAAGCAGAAGAAATAGAGCCAGTGTGGTGTAGTGGTTAGAACACTGGACCAGGACTCTAGAGATTAGAGTCTGAATCCCTTCTTGGCTCTGGAAACCCAGTGGGTGACCCTGGGCAAGTCACAATCTCTCAGTTTCAGAGGAAGACAATAGCAAACCTCGTCTGGACAAATCTTGCCACAAAAAACTTGTGATAGGTTTGCCTTAGGGTCACCAGAAGTCAGAAATGACTTAAAGGCACCCAACAAAAACAAGCAGATGAACCCAGTACATGTTTAATATGTAACCACATTTATCGAAATGGGATTTATAGGAAACTGACCAAACATTCAGCACAACCTGGCACGATCCCCAGTGGGTTGCTCTTGTACACATATCATCCTCATGTAGTCAAAGGATGCCACATAACTGGACAAAAAAACAGACTACTTACAGCTTCTTTCTCTTGGGCATCTATCTTTGCTGACTGGGTATCCACAGGCTCAGGAATCTTGAGTGCTTTAAACTGAAATTTAAGGGGGGGGGGGGGAATCAATTTTAAACATGCTATTTCCAATTCTGTCAATACCAGATGGTACAAGACATCTGAGGCCTAATTGAAATCAGTACAAGCATTCGCGAGGAAGGTTTCTATAAAGAGATAGTTAAGAATGTTCTATTGCAACCCATAAAGTTTAAACATTTAATGGTCTTTATGTCATCAGCATTATCTGCATGGAATTCTAATAAGTTTACTTCTCTGTCTCACACTCAGAGAACCAGCCACAGGACCTGGAGTGCAAACTTCTAAGTTGCAATTTCCACATTTGAAACTAGCCTCTTTTAGCCTTTCACAAAACACACAGACTCATTTACTGAAGTGGGAGAGGAGGAATGATTGAATTCATACTTGGAACAACAAAGGTTTTACTATTTCTTGTAATTAGTATTTGATGGAACAAGGCAGAAACATCTTGATAGTATTCCAAGCTTACAGAAACCTTATCAGTTCATTCCCTTTTCCTCCCTATGTCACTCAATCTCAAACAGTTTTCATGTTCTTTTAGCTAATAGGCTGTAAGAAATGGTAGCTAAACTGTAAAGTTCATGGTATGGATCAGAAAATTTAGTCTCAACTGCTACACTAAGGACCCAGAAAGAGTCCATTAACCAGGAAAAAAGTGGTAGAATATCCCAGACTGTGGACAAACACATGTACAGCTTTAGGTACCAAAAATGTTTTTCCACTCAGCTACAACACTATTACCACAACACCCACATGGCTGCTGGAAAACATTATAATAAGCGTGACTTCTAGACTGTATGGCATCCAAAGAGCCTCCATTTGAACTCAAAAACATGCAAAGTCTCATAATACAGGCTCACCTTCTTCTCAAATTCATCCACCATGCCAGCTTTGGCAACTGCAGTCTTGTAAAAAGCCCAGTCAATAGCTGGGGGAGCCTCTGGCAAAGAAGCAAGCCTATTCAGATGGAGAAAAGCACATTAGAACTACTGTACATTCCAGACCACTGCTACTTCTGCAACACTCACTCTTCTTGTCTCCCACTTAAGAACAGATAACTAAAGTTGCCAACTTTCTCAACTATTCATACACAACTGTAAATGATTGCTTTAAGATTATGATAAAACATACTAACTACAGAATCAATAATCTAATTTTTATATTGCCTATTATTCTAGGTCAATGATTCCCAAACTTTGCTCCTCCATTTGTTGGACTTCAACTCCCAAAAGCCCCAACCAATTTGGCCAAGTCAGGGATTATGGGAGCAGAAGTCCAAATAATCTAGAGGACGAAAGGTTAGAAACCACTGTTCTCGAGTGACAGAGATGGTTCTGCTAAAACATGATATGAGTTTGTATATTTTAAAGAAAACAAGCTCTAGTCATTATCGCCCTACCCCAAAAAAGCCTCCATAATGTGACAGCTACGATCTCACTTATGTCTGAATCAGATTTTAATGATACTGCTCCTACAGCAAAAGCCTATCTTCCTTCAAGACTAGAAGTATCACAGGTATGCAGGAAAACAAAATAAAATTAGAATATTTATCTTCAATAAGCTGATTGCTTATATCAGCAACAATACATGGAGGATAGCAATAATGTACATGGATAAAAATCTAGTGAACAGTTCACTGATAAACACAACCTGTAAAATACAAAAAAAGTGCATTTCATTCAATTCAATCATACAAATTAACACAACTAACAATGCTTGAAACTAGCCACTACACACAAATGTGTTTGACCTAAGAAAAACTGGATGTAATTCTACTGTCCTTCTATCCACAGTGTCATTTTCTCACTCAGAAATACTCACTTTGCTGAGAGAGCATCACTGCGTGTTTTCAGGGCAATAAACATAGGTTTCTGATTGGGAGGCACTCGCTCAGCAAATGCCACCCAGTCAACTGCTTTCAGAGCAGCTCTGCGGCCAGCCATTGTTTCAAACTAGGAAAACAGAAAATAGAAAACCAGTAAGGTAAGAAAAACAAGAATATCATAGCATGGTAGGTTATTTTGATAGCATATTTACAGGTTAAAAAAGCAAAATGAACAAGAATAAATTTAAACAAACTCTTAACTTTGTTTAAACAAACAAACAAAAAACTATGACTGCAATCTAGTGCATACTTACTGGCCTGGGAATAAACCTAATGAAGTGACAAAGCCTGTTTTGTTTTGTTTTTTGGTTTAAACCAGGTCTCTCTCCCCCCCCCCCCCAGGTTTTTGGTGGGAAGTTTTGAATTAATGTGTAGCACTACATCAGTATGGTGCTAAATCAGAAAATTAAGCAGCCAAATGCAGTACAGATGTGATGGCCACCAGCTTAAATAATTGCTGTTGTTTTTTAAATGCTCTTTTCAAGCAAATTGGTTTTGGCTGAACCTATGTTAATTGAAGGGTTTGTTTCTGAATGGCATTTCTTGCACTATAAAACAAAGTGATTAAAAAGCAACTGACGATGGATACTGGCGTTAACAATGAACAACTGCCAATAAACTGTTAAAATTCAAATGTTTTAAGTCAAACAATTATTGTTGCTTGAGGAAGGGAATTAATTTAGGAAAGAGGGTCCCATTTTGGGAGAAAGGCAGTATATAAATCCAATAAATTAATGAATATAAGGCTGGGAAATAGTTATAGCAGCCAAACTTTAACAGGTGTGTGTGTCTGTTTTAAAATCATTTGGATTAAAACATGGTTTAAACCAGCCAACCTGGGGGAAGGGACGAGAGCAAAACACTACTCTCCTTACTTGGAAAAATTACTGTTACACTACTCCTGTGTCATAAATAATCGTGTACAAAAACATCCCAAATCCACAAAACAGCAATACTTTTAATGGGCCCACCAACATGCACAAAAAACATGCTGCAAACTGTCAAAGCTCCACTGGCTTCTTCATCAAGCAAAGTGTTAAAAATCAAACAGAAGAAAGACATGAAAAAGCCAGTGGAGCTTTGAAAGCTTGCATCATGTATTTTGTGCATGTTGGTGGGCCCAATAAAGGTACTGTTGTTTTGTGGATTTTGAACCTATAATACAGTTTGTATTTTAAACTCTCTCCCCCGTTCAGTTCATGCAAGTACCCATCCAAAGAAGTGAGTGTTACTTGCATACACTTTGGCTTCACCGACACAATGATTCTATGATGACAGATGTTGCTCTGCCTTCACCCCATCCTCAGTTTTGACCTGGGTCCTCAGGAAGTCTTTGTCTTGCCTCCGTACTACAGAGTGTATTTTGTGCATTTTGGTTGGCCCAATGAAGGTACAAGTGTTTTGTGCATTTTGGATGTTATTGTACTTTTCTGTATGGCCAACAAACCTACTCCTGGATATGTTGCTGCTGTTGTCGTTGCTGATGTGTGCTTTCAAGTAATTTCTGACATATGGTGACCCTAAGGTGAATCTAAGAGCCAACATGGTATAATGGTTTCAGTGCTGGATTATGACTCTGGAGACCAGGGTTCAAACCCCAGCTTGGCTATGTATACCCACTGGGTGACCTTAGAATCACAGAATCATAGAGTTGAAAGAGAGCCCAAGGGCCATCCAGTCCAACCCCATTCAGCCATGCAGGAACTCACAATCAAAGCATCCTCAACAGATGGCCATCCAGCCTCTGTTTAAAGTCCTCCAAAGAAGGAGACTCCACCACTCTCCGAGGGAGTGCCTTCCACTGTCAAACAGCTCTTACTGTCAGGAAGTGCCTCCTAATGTTTAGGTGGAATCTCTTTTCGTGTAGATTAAATCCACTGTTCCAGGTCCTATTCTCTGGAGCAATCTGCAACACCCCCAGTATCCCTGGAGGTCTTTAAGCAGAGGCTGGATGGCCATCTGTCGGGGATGCTTTGATTGGGAGTTCCTGCATGGCAGGGGGTTGGACTGGATGGCCCTTGTGGTCTCTTTCAACTCTATGATTCTATGATTCTATGACATCCCTTCCAATATTTAAACAGGACTATCATATCCCCTCTTAACCTTCTCTTTTCCAGACTTGCCTTGGACAAGTCACAGTCTCAGCCTCAGAGGATGGCAATGGCAAAACCTCCTCTGAAACTTGCCAAGGAAACCCTGTGATAGGTTTGCCTTGTTGTTGTTGTGTGCTTTCAAGCTGTTTTAGATTTATGGCAACCCTAAGGTAACCCTATCACAGGGTTTCCTTGGCAAGTTTCTTCAGAGGAGGTTTTGCCACTGTCATTTTCAGACTGAGAGAATGTGACTTGCCCAAGGTCACCCAATGGGTTTACAGGGGTGACCCTGGGCAAATCCCTGGCTATGCTTTATTAATAATCATGCCAGGTGACCTTCCTTCTGAAGTCCCTGGTGACAAAATCCCCAGATTTTATGGAGGACAGGGCACCATAAAATGTAAGACATTCTTGGAAAATTAGGGACATGACCCAATAAAAGCTCAAAACACTCCTAGAAATGGAAATCCGTGCTTCTCAGTCCTGCTCAGAATGGTGAACCTTTGAGAATTCCTCCGGGTCAGAAGGGGGAAATGGAGGACCTTCAAGAAAAATGGTGGACATGACCAAATAAAAATTCAAGACACTCCTAGAAATGTAAAATTGTGCTTTCATTCCTGCTCCAAATGGAGGACCTTTTGGGATTCCTCCTGGACAGAAGGCAGGAAATGGAAGGCCTTCAAGAAATATGGAGGGCATGACCAAATAAGAGCTACAAATACTCCACTATAAATATCAACTTGTGCTTCTCAGTCCTGCTCCAAATGGAGGGCCTTTTAGAATTCCTCTTGGGCAGAAGGCTGAAATGGAGGGCATGTCCTGGAAATGGAGGGCAAGTCTGGTCACCAGGGAAGGCAGCCTCACTGCCCCAGAAAAGGACATGAAATGTTTTTGTTAACTGCCCTCAAGTTGATCTCAACTCATGGAGACCCTATGGATGAGACATCTCCAAGACTCTCTGTCCTCCACTGCTCTTCTTAAATCCTGGAACCCCTTAATACCCGTGACCTCCTTAATAGAGTCCATCCATCTGGCATGTGGCCTCTCTCTCTTCCTACTTCCCTCCACCTTCCCCAGCATTATTGTCTTTTCCAAAGAGTCCTCTCTTCTCATGATGTGTCCGAAGTATGACAGCTTTAGTGTGGTCATCTTGGTTTCCAGGGAGGTTTCAGATTTGATCTGTTCTAGGACCCATTTGTTTGTCCTTTTGGCTGTCCATGGGATCCTCAGCACCCTTCTCTAGCACCACATTATCCCAAAGGAGTTGATTTTCTTCCTATCATGCTCCCACATCCATACATGGAAATAGGGAATACAATGGCTTGTATGATTCTAA